GGGGAGTGGTCACTCGTCCAGGTGATTGTCTTGAACCGGTGGCTGTTAGGGCAGGATAATTGACTGTAATTTATAATTTGTCAATAATTTTGGTCAAGGAGCCATGATCATCTCTGATCTCCATGTGACACACTTTAACCCGATCCGTACGCACTGGGTTATTTTGTACTCCCGGGGTTGTATTCTTCACATTTTAGAATACTTCTTGTGCGAAGATCTCTTTGAAACTTCCAGTATTTCTCAAAAAATCATTTTGACTGACTGCTATACAAAGCGTAAGTTCCTCTTTGAAAGTTGTGGCACAGAGTTCCCCACGTCATATGGAAGCGATAGTAAAACACGACGTACGGACAGGGTTAAATCCTTGAATGTGTCCTTCTCGCGAGTAGTATGTGGATAAACTCGATACTCGTCAGTCCTCGAGCCGCCTCAGACGTATCATCACATAGTGTAGTGCGTCCTCACCAGGGGTGGCTCGTGAGGCTAAAAAGTGGACGTGCACAATTAAGCTATCGCATGCTGAAGATAGTCAAGGGCATAGTAAATGAGACGGTGTTTCGGGGGAAATTATTCCAAACAATCGTAACTCAAAATACGACTTTAAAAAAAAATATGTTAACGAACAAAACCGCGCTCACCTTGTGTTAAAACGATGCATCTATAGCTTTAATATTAAGGCAGCTATGGCACAGAGTTTTTTAGTCGTATCTTGAGTTTGGCAAAAAATTGTTTCCAAACTGTAGTAAGTCTAGTTACAATACTTTGGTTTCAAATGCTTGGTGTCGTATATATCGTAACAATGACATACGACAGTTTGGTTTCCAATTTTCCATCCGAACCGGGCGATTTCTATATCGTAACTACTACTGTCTGCGTTTCACTCTGTCAGACTCAATGTTTGTAATAGATTCTGTTTCTCGGGAATTAATTCATTTCGTGGATAGTAAAGGGTTAGTCAGGTGAATGTGAGTTTATTGTCGAATATAACGCCGAGGAAACGAGTCTTATCCTGGACGGGAATAATTTCCCCGTCTAGTGTCAAATCCGGCAGCAGTACACGTAGGCCTGATCGGCAGAAGTGTACTGCAACCGTCTTTGACGGGGAAAACTTGAAACCGTTATTTTTTGCCCACTTTTCAAATTTGTGCCGCTGCGTTTGCAGCTGCCTTTCTATAGATCTTAGTTGAGGATTTTTCGAACGGCAGCATATCAAGAAGTCGTAAACGTATAACGAGCTGTCTATGCTATTTTGGAGGGTTTTTACAATGGAATCTATTTTGATTTCAAATAGGAGAGGAGAAAGGAAGCTCCCGTGGGGGACACCTTTCTCCTGTTG